CAGCTTTTCAGCAAGTTACTCAGATTTATTTTCCGTCTTGGCCTGGCTCTAAAGTCTTTGCATCTGATGGGACCAAGACGTTAAGAGAGTCAGAACTTTCTGTGGATCCAGGCTGGCTTCAGATCTTTTAAAGCCAGCCCCTTCCAGCCAGACGAGGTTAAATGCAGATGCACTGTTACTGTTTATAAACGGGGGAAGGATTCCTAGGTTATAACTGCAAGTGGCAGTTGATTTATTTTTAAATGAATTTATTGAGAGGGAATTTTCATGCAATAAAATTCACCCTTTAAAGTGTATGTTTCAGTGGTTTTTGGTATATTCACAAAGTTCTGCAACCATTACCACTAATTAATTCTGGAACATTTTCATCACTCCAGAAAGAAACTCTATACCCTGTGGCAGTAATCCCTCCCCCAGCCACCAGCCCTAGACAACCACTAAGGTACTTTCTGCACTATGCTAACACTTGATATAAATGGGATCATACACCATGTGGCCTTCTGGGACTGGCTTCTTTCATGTCATAGTGTCTTCAAGGTTCAATCGTGTTGTAGTGTGTATCAGTTTTTCACTCCTTTTTATTGATGAATAATATCCCGTTATATGACTATATACATTTGTTTATTATTCAGTACTTGATGGACTTTTTCATTGTCCCTGTTTCTTTGGCTGTTATGAATACTGCTAAGGACATTCATGTACATATCTTTGAGTGAGCCTATGATTTCATTTCTTTTGGTATATGCCTAGGAGTGGAATTGCTACGTCATCTGATAACTCCGTTAAACATTTTGAGGAACTGCTATACTCTTTGCCAAAGAGCCACACTATTTTATAGTCCCACAAGCAACGTATAATGATTCCATCTTGTCCACATCCTCACCAACACTTGTTATTATGTCTTTTTTACTTTAGTCATCCTACTGGGTGTGTAGGAGCTCTGGTGGTACCGTGGTGAAAGCATTGGACTGCTAGACAAAAGGTTGTCAGTTCAAACTCACCAGCCACTCACTCCATGGGCGAAAGATGAGGCAATATGCTTCCATAAAGATTTACACTCTTGGAAATCCTTTGGGGCAGTTCTACTCTGTCCCATACGATCTCTATGAGTTGGAATTGACTCGATGGTAGTGGGTTAGTGGGTGGGAAGTAGTATCTTGTTGCGGTTTTGATTTTCATTTCTCTAATGATGATGTTGAACATCATGTCATGTGCTTACTGGCCATCTGTTGTTACCTTTTGTGAAGGAATGTCTATTCAAATCCTTAGCTCATTTTAAAATTGTGTTGTTTCTCTATTTATTGTGGAGCTGTATGAGTTCTTTATATATTCTGGATACAAGTCTCTTAGCAGATACACGATTTGCAAATATTTTCTCCCATTCTGTGGGTTGTCTTTTTACTTTCTTGATGATGTTCTTTGAAGCGCAGCAGTTTTTAATTTTGACAAAGCCTATTTTATCTAGTTTTTTTTTTCTTTTGTTGCTCATGGTTTTTGGCATCATGTCTGAGAAGACACTGCTGAACCCAAGTCACAAAGATTTACTCCTTTGTTTTCTTCTAAGAGTTTTATGGTTACAGCTCTTGCATTGCGGTCTTTGATCCGTTTGAGTTCATTTTTACATATGATGTGAGGGTTTGACCTCATTCTTTGGCGTGTGGCTATCCAGTTGTCCCAGCACCATTTATTGCAGGCAGATCATTTTTTAACGAAGTGTCATCTTACACAAACCTCAGTATTTTCACATACTTGGTGTGGTGCACAGAGCGCTAGTGAGAGAAGGACAGGGGCCCTACATTCCAGTCCCACCTGCGCCTTTCCCTCGAGCCAGCCTCTTTCCTTCTGTGGACCACGTTTCCTCATCTAGTGAACGTGACAGCATGAGGCAAAGACTTCTAACAGATTCTGCCCATTATTCTGGTCTCTCTGTATTTGGGCTTTGATGGGGAGGGTGCTAAGGAGCCCTGATAGCGCAGTGCGTAAGGCATTTGACTGCTCACCAGAAGATTGGCGGTTCAAACCCTCCAGCTGCTTCACAGAAAGAAGATGGGGCAATCTGCTTCCGTAAAGATTTACCACCTTGGAAACCCAGTGAGGGGAGTTCTGAGTTGGAATTAACTTGATGGCAGTGGGTTTGGGTTTGATTTTGGGGAGGGTGCTGGAAAACTGTGATGCGTTTTAGCCCAATGGGCTGCATTTGCTTCCTGTTACCTAGTGATGGTCTTGTATCACTGTCCAGTCTTCAGCACACCATAAAACCATCAGTCCAGCTTGCTCAGATATGCTTACGGGAGCTTAGCATAGTCCCCCCTAGAGCTGTGGTTCTCAAACTTCAGCCTGTCTCAGGTTCCCCAAAAGGCTTGTGAAAATAGGTTCCTGTGGTGCTGGCCCCCTCCTCCCGGAGTTTCTGATTCACTGGATCTGGGAGGGGACCGGGAATTGGCTTTCTGACAAATTCCGAGGCAGAGTCGCTGCTGCTGGCCCAGAGACCACACTTCGCAAACCTCTGGATTTCCTGTCTCTTCCTTCTGGGCTTTGGAACCTGCTATTCCCTGCCTGGGAACCTCACCCCTCACCTTTAGTTGGATAATTCCTACTTGTTCTCTCATAATAATTTTTGTCTTAAAGTTTGTTGTGTCTGACATATTAGTACTGCCACCCCAGCTCTCTTTTGGTTATTACGGTTTGCATTCTGTATCCTTTCCCCATCCTTTTACTTTCAAACAGATTATGTTTTTGAATCTCTTACAGGTAGCATATAGTTTGATCACATTTTTCAATCCATTCTGCCAACGTTGCCCTTTAACTGGACAGTTTAATCCATTTATATTTAATGTAATTACTGATAAGGTAGAATTTATGGCTGCCATTTTGCTATTTTCTGTATGTCTTATGTCTTTTCTGTTCCACTATTCCTGCTTCAGTGCCTTCTTTCATGTTAGATACTTCCTAGTGTACTCTTCTAATTTCTTGTCATTTCTTCTACTAATTCCTGCTAGCCCATCAGATCTCCTTGTGGCTTCCTGGAGGAAGCCTTCCCTGACGTTCACCTCAGCTGAACTTGGAGCCCATTCTTTGAGGCCCTATGGCGTTGATCACACTGCCCTGTAATTGCCACTTTAGCTCCTGCAGGTCTCTGCTTTGTCCTTCATTGGCCTGGCACTGAGCCTGCCCCAGAGTGTGTGCTTGGTCAGTACTGTGAGCCAGTTCCTGCCTGGAGCTGCTGAGAGAGCTTTAACTCCAGAGTCCTTTGGATCTGGGATGGAAAAAACAGAACAGCAGGAATGCAGGAACAAAACTGAAGTCTTCTTCCTCCCACCCCTCTAGATTTCTGGGCAAATAAAATGACTTGGGTCCTGTATCAGTTATTTATTGCTGTGATAATGGTGTGTAACCAACAAACAGAAAATGGCAATGGTCACTGCTGAAGGTTCTGGGCTGGTTGGTTAGGTGGCTCTGCTGATCTTTGGGCTCAGTCCCATGTCTGAGGATGGACTGACTGGCTGAGGGTGATCTAGAATGGCCTCAGCTGGAACAGTTGGGACAGTGGGAGTCTGTACCGTGAGACTTGCATCCTCCCCCTGGGTCCTAAGCTGGGCGAGCCTTCTGGTGATGGCAGAAGGCAAGAGTGTTGTTGTTGTTAGGTACCATCGAGTCGGTTCCGACTCACAGAGACTGTGTGTACAACAGAAGAAGCACTGCCCGGGCCTGTGCCAGCCTCACAGTTGTTGCCATGCGTGAGCCCATCAGCACAGCCACCGTGTCAGTCCATCTCGCCGAGGGTCCTCCCCTTTTTGGCTGACCCTCTGCTCTAAGCTAGTGTGATAGCCTTCTCCAGGGACTGATCCCTTCAGACAACATGGCCAAAGTACGAGAGACAAAGTCTGGCCGTTCTTGCTTCTAAGGAGCATTCCAGCTGTACTTCCTCCAAGACAGATTTGTTCATTCTTCTGGCAGTCCATGGTACATTCAATATATGCCAACACCAGAGTTCAAATGCATCAGTTCTTCTGCGGGCTTCCTTGTTCATTGCCAGCTCTCACATGCATATGAGGCAATGTAAAATACTACGGCTTGGGTTCTTTATCACTTTAAAGAGGTCTTTTGCGGCAGATTTGCCCAATACAATCTGTTGTTTGATTTCTTGACTGCTGTTTCCATGGGCACTGATTGTGAATCCAAGTAAAATGAAATCCTTGACAAGAGTGTGCACGCCCAATTACACTGGCATGTTTTAGATCTCTGGCTGTATCCCATTTGCTAACATCCCATTGATCCAAGCCAGCCAGAGTGAGAGTGACAGTGAGCTCAAGGTAAGATGCGAGGGCCCTCCAAAGTGATACGGGGCGAGGGGAATGAGTGAAGAAGCTATGTTTGTAATCTCCTACAAATTAATTAAAGTCTAGTTGTGGCCAATAGGAGTCCTGAGTGGTATAAACAGTTAATGTGCGTGGCTGTTAACTGAAAGGTTCGATGTTCAAGTCTATCCACTAGTGTCTTGGAAAAAAAGTCAGGCAATCTATTTCTAAAAAATCAGCCATTAAAAACTCTATGGAGCACAGTTCTACTCTGGTTGGGGAGTCGCCATGAGCCAGAATAGTTTCGATAGCAACTGGTACTGGCCAATAATCCGAACAGCAGAGCTTTTTTTTTTTTTAAAAAAAAAAAACACATCTTAAAACTTGTTGTTGTTGTTATGTGCCATCGAGTCAGACCCGACTCATAGCGACCCCTCCTTGGGTTTCCGAGGCGGTATCACTGTGGAAGTAGATTGCCCAACCTTCCTTCCGAGGAGTGGCTGGTGGGTTTGAACCGCCAGCCTTCTGGTTAGCAGTCAAGTGCCTTAGGCACTATGCTCCAGAGCTCTCTCTTAAAAACATACACTTTATTTATTTATTTATTTATTTAAAAAATGATCTTCTTAATGCAGAAGAACTGTCTCTTGCCTTCTTACTTGGAGATCAAGACAGGTAGTGACAGTCTGCTGTTTCTCTGTACAGAATTGGAGGCAGTCGTCATCGGAGAAGCCCATGAGGACATTACTCTGCAGTGTGGCAACGTCTCGGGGTCCAGGGGCCTGGTGACTTGGTACCGGAGTGAGCTGGAGCCTGTTCTCCTCGTGTCCTCAGACTCTCGCCTGCAGCCCGCCAGCCCACGCTTCTCTCTGCGGAACGGCAGCTCCCTGCACATCGAGAGCCTGAGCCTGCAGGAGGAAGGCAACTACACCTGCCAGGAGGTCCTTAACGAGACTCGCTGGTTCCGAGTGTGCCTGCAGGTGGCCAGTAAGTGCACTGGGCAGGCCAGGAATATGGGCTCTGCAGTCACGGAGCCTGGGTTTCATTCTTCTATCTGTCACTTCCAAGCTGCCTGGTATAACACACCTGCATGACCTGGAAAATGCACGTGAAAAGAATTCTTGCCTCATAAAATTGTTGTGAAGAATAGGTACCAATTGATGTATATGAGGTGCTTTGAATGGCTCCTGGCATATTGGTTAGCGATTGCTATGACAGGCTATGTCATTAATATCATTCTTGTTAAGCGTTTGTATATGCAATGGAGTCAAAGAACAACAGTCTACTCAGACTGAGGGCCAGTTCTCAGGCTGGTACCTCATTCTGCGTCACCTCAAGTAAGTAGTTGAATATCTCTGAGCTTCAGTCTTCCTTATCTGTTAACTGTGCTATCGTGCTAAGTACAAGGCTTGCAATTAACTAATATAACTACTGTTCTTTCTTAAGACGTGCCATCCTATCTGTTGATACACAGATATGAATTTACAGCATAGGAACTGTATCTGGCTTGTCACCTGTTTTTGTCTCACCCACGAGCCACAGATATGTTTTACCTTTTTTTCCTACGTTTTACTTATTTTGTTATTGTTGAGGATATACAAAACAAAACATACCCCCGTTCAACGTTCAACCGTTTCTACATGTATAATTTAGTAACATCGATTACATTCTTCGAGTTGTGCAGATAGTTTGTTACCTTTTTAACAGTGAAAAAAATCAAAAGATTACTATTTTGTGACACGTGACACAATGAAATTCAGGTTTCGGTGTCGATAAAGTTTTATTGGAGCACAGGCACGCGCATTCCTTTGCCTGAAGCCGGTGACTGTTCTCGTGCTGCATCCGCAGGGTCCAGTGCTTGAGGCAGAGAATGCGTGGCCTCAAGGCCTGAAATATTTGCTACCCGACCCTTTACAGAGAAAGGTTGCTGACCCTGGTTTAGAGGACACCCATGCTCTATATCCAGGGTGTACAGCAGTAGAGACATCTGTGTGATCATGTCTCTGAATAGTTTACTCACTCCTGTATCCAACATATGAATATAGGAAGAAGTCAACAGTTGGGTGCTTAACTATGAACAGAAAGGTTGGTGGTTTGAGTCCAGCCAGAAGTGCCTTGGAAGAAAGGTCTGGTGATCTGCTTCTAAAATATCAGCCATTGAAAGCCCTAAGGAGCACAATTCTGCTCTGACACCCAGGGGTCGCCATGAGCTGGAATTGACTCCATGGCAACCAATTTGGTTTGTATTCAATATATATTTTTTGGGAGGTTGCTATATGACAGGCACTGTTCTAGGCCCTGGGACATGGGATGAAAAAGACAAGGTCCCTGCTGTCATGGAACTGACATTCTAATGGGGAAAGACGACAGTAAACAAGTAGTTACATAAGAAAATATCAGAGTGACATTGCTGTGTGGGGCCTTGACACGGAGTAGTATGATTCCCTGAAGTCCTTTAAATCTAAATCCGGGGATCAAGGAAGAACTGTTAGAATTAGTGACAGTTAAACTGAAGGATATGTAGGATCCACTGTTGGCAATGATAGGAGGAGACAGTGTTCCAGTTCGAACAAGCAATAGGTGCATGATGGAATAACGGGGTGAATTTGTGGATCAAGAGAACACTGGAGAGACAGGCAGCCAGTAGGTGAAGAGGAAAGAGGTGTGAGACATGGGTGGCCGTGCCAGACCATGTGGGGTTAGCTAGGACCAGCAAGGACTTGGGATTTTATTCTAGGTGCAGAGCTTCCAGTGAGGGTTTGGCGTTATTTGAATTACACGTGGAGAATATCTGTGTGTGGTCTTGAGAGGGGCTGAGAAAATAAAAGCCAAGAAACCAAGATGTTGTTGTCCAGATCCAAGATGTTGGTGTCCAGAACCAAGACAGCAGCATAACCTTGGGGTAGACACACAGATTCAGAAAGTACTTTGGAGGGGGACCAACAGGACTTGCAGGTGGATGAGCTATGGGGGGTGAAGGAATGAGAAGCCTCAAGGAGACGTCTAGATTTTTGGATCATCAGTAAGGTTTCCACCAACTGTTAAGCTTGTGGAATCCATGAGCACAGCATTTCTGTGTCTGGAGGTGTCACGGATGAATTGCTGAAAGGCCAGTGATGAATGTGGGTGTTTCTAAAAATGCCGTGAATGTTGGCCCACCTCTGCTGGGTTCCTGCTGGGAGCCCACGGGCGAGTCCACTCCAGCTGCTGAGTAACAGTGACTGTTACCTTCATGTCAGTCTTGTCAGTAAATTTTTTTTTCTATTTTGACCATAGAGGAGCAAGGTGGAGTTACAGCTCTGTGTGTTTTTCATCAGAGCTCTCTGTGGTTTATGATAACTTGATCTGACCCTGATTTATTAATCATTGGCTGAGTTTATTGAAGGAAGGATTAGTTTCATTACAACTCTGCAGGGAGATAAATGCAAGACATTGTTACCAGGAAAGTAAATGTAAATTTTTAAAAACTATCACTCCGGTGGCTCGTTGCGCTCTCTGAAGGCAGGTCTTGTGTGTGTCTGAGGTACTATGGAGTGATTCCTTTTAAGGCCACTTCTTTGCTTGGAAAGCTAAGCGGTCCTTGACTGGGTTGGGACTTATTTGTGAAAACAGGATACAGACGGCTCTGGTTTCATATTCCCAAGAGCTCCCAGGATCCCACTCTTTCTCCCATTTCAGAAAGGCCCTGTACAGACCCCAGAGCCCTCTTAGCCCGAGGAAGCCTCCTCCTGCTCCTTAGTGGCCTCTGGGAGGGCTTGGCGCCTTGGCTACTCAGATCAAACTCAGTCCTCATTTTCACACGAAAGATTTGAGAATATGGATTAGGTTTGATTCATCCTGTTTCTGGGAAGGAGGCGGTATTGCTGAGTTGGCTGGGAGCTTACACTCTGAGGTCGAACTGCCTGGGTTCAAATCCAGGTCCCATCGACTGTTCAAAGGTCCACTTGAACTCCTTTAAACCTTAGCTTTATCCTCAAAATCATAAAAAAAAAAAAAAAAAATTACCAGGCTTCCTGGTCTGACAGAGACTGGTGGAATCCCTGATCCTGTGGCTGTTGGTCACCCTTCACACCTGGACCTGAATTGCTCTGTAGCTGAATTTTCAGTCAAACAACGGACAGGTTTTCAAGGTGCACAGTAGCTCCAGGAAGGTAGACGCTCCTTAGAACAGTCAACCATTCGCGATCAAAAGGGTAGCATTTGCCCAAGGACAAAGTTCAGATGACAGAAGGGTTAGGAGAGAAGGAGGAGTGGAAATGAGCAGCACAGGGTGATGTAGGAGGAGTGATGTTATATCGAGGAGATTGCAATGAAATGACATAAAACAAAATGTGTGTGAATTGTTGAATGGAAAATTGATTTTCTCTGTAGACTTTGACCCAAACCACAACAAAAAGTTTTTTGAAAAACACAAAACTCAAACACCTTAGTTTCATTGTCTGTGAACTCAGGGGTAACAGTCGTGCCTAACACAGGTTTAAACATGCCAAATCTAGACGTAGTTGGCAGGGTACAAACTTGTGCTCGGAAACCCCAATGGATCTCTAGTCCGTCACCTTAACCTCTCAGCCACAACTACAACCACAAGGAAGAATTGGTGCATTTGAACTACGGTGTTGGTGAAGAATACTGAACAAACCGTGCACTGCCAAAAGAATAAAGCAATCAGTCTTGGAAGAAGTCCAACCGGAATGCTTCTTAGAAGCAAGGTTGGAGGGACTTTGGCCAGGCTCACAACCACTGGGCTAAGAACCCAAACTGACGGGGACCAAGACCTCGATAAGATGCTGGACCTTTGTAACCAACCTTTGGTTTGACTTTTTTGTTTTTTTACCACCACCACCCCCGCCCTGCCATATCTGTCTCTCAGAGTGATTGCTACCAACACCCTGCAAGCGAAAAAGGGTTTGAAGGAAGCCTGGTGAGGAACATCCAAGGGGTGGAGAGAGATGGGAGGGAAGGAAATGAGCACCCCTCCTCTGTGGTAAGTCAGAGTAGGGAAAGAACCCCAGGAACCCAAGAAGAGAGTGTCACTTTCATAAAGGGACACAGAGAAAACTCAGGGAGTTAATACATGAGTGGTAACCTTTGAACACTTAACAACTCAGGAGACCTTTTAAGTTCTCATTTGATCTTTTTTTTGTCCCTCCATCTTCACTCATTTCCTTCTCGTCCACCCTCTATGATCAGCCCCATTTCTTACTGAGTATTGTGCTGGTCTCAGCCGATTTTTGGGTTCTTCACTGTCCATGCCAGACCACGGTGGCCTCCAGACTACAGTTTGGAACACTAGGACCCTGGTGTGTCTGATCCCACACGCTGCCCTGGCTGGCCCAGGCGTCGGCAATTGGATGGAGGCCAGCTGTGGGTGTGCCCAGGACCTGCTGGTCCACATACCTAACAGCAATGAGTGGGGCACTTGAGCACCTCCCCAGCTGCACTGTAAGTTTCCTGCAGGCCTCCCTTTCCCTCCCATTCTTAGTGGAAGGTGACATGATTCCGGTAGCAACTCTTAGGAGTGAGCCCCAGCCAGACATGCATATTGTCATGTATGTTGTCCCCAGAAACACATAGTGTCTGTCCCTAGTTATAAAATGACCTCAGACATAGATTCAAGGGGCTGGGAAAATTTATTCCCCCACAAATGATTTTTTCCACTGACCTATTTCTGCTCGTAATTCTGTAATGTTCAATTTCTTCCTTTAGGCTAGACATCATCCTTCTGGATTCTTCTTTTTAAAAGAGGAAGCCTCTGGGAGGGGTCATATGCTAAGTACTTCAGTAGGAACAGGTGTCAGATAGATTCTTTGTATCAAAAGGAAGAAAAGAGGCATTTAGATGCAGTAGATACCAACAACGGGAAAGCATTTCTAGGGATAAGAAAGAAGTTTGGAAATGTGAGGGGATCTAAGATAAGAACTGGCATTTATCAGATGTTCCCAACTTGCCAGGCACTGTTCTGGGTGTTCCATTATATTAACTTACTTAATTTTTTTTTTAATAAAATTTTATTTTTTTTGGTAAAGGTTTACATGGCAGTTTCAGTTCCCATTCAACAGTTTCTACACACATTGTTCAGTGACATAGGTCCCATTCTTCACAATGCATGAACATTCTCAGTATTTCTATTCTGGTTGTTCTGTTTCCATTAATCTAGTTTCCCCGTCCCCTTGCCTTTTCACCTTTGTTTTAAAGCCATTGTTGACCATCTGGTCTTATATAGGTGATTTTTAAAAGAAGCACAGTACTCACAGGTGATATTCATTATTTTTTGAGCCAATCTCTTATTTAGCTATAAGGTGATGTCAGGAGTTAGTTTCAGTTTAAAGTCTGAAGAATATTTCAGGACAGTAGTCTCAGGGAGTCTTACAGTCTCAACTAGTCCAGTAAGTCTGTAAAGTTTTTTTTTTTTTTTTTTGTAGCTTATTTAATCTAACAATTCCATGAAGTGGATACAGTCATTCCACCCTGTCTCCCACAATACCATTTTACACATAAGGAAATGGAGGCTCAAAGAGGTTAAGTAACTTGTCCAAGGTCTCAGGGCTAGTAAGCGGAGTTCAAAGTTGGGAATGGAACCAGTGTTTGCTGTCTTTCGGGCTGATACTTTGTTAGGGGTCTCCAAGACCATGTCCAGGTCCAGGGGTTCTCTAGGAGGACTCAAAAGACTCAGCATGTGTTGTACGCACAGCTATTATTTATCACAGTGAAAAGATGCAAAGCATACTCCATAAAGGGAAAAGGTGCATGTGGTGAAGTCTGGGGGAAACCAGGCACGAGCTTCCAAGAGTCCCCTCCCAGTGGAGTCACACAGCACACTCCAGCAGTGAGTTGTGACAACATATGTGACATGTTGTCTACCAGAGAAGTTCATCAGAGACTCTGTGCCCAGGTTATCACTGGGGGCTGATCATGTAGGCACCCTTTACCTGGCATGCACCAAAATTCCTGGAAGGAAAGAGGTGTTCTGCAGGAACCACGTTGCTTGTATAAACAATGTAGGCACAGTGAGCCACTCTTACCAGTTCTGGCAACAGTGCAAACTCTCCCAAAATCCAAGTTCCCATACGCCAGCCAAGGGCCATCTTTGCAAGCAGGCCTTTCAAGGAGGAACAGTCTTAGGCCTTCTGTGTTGAGACCTTTCTGCACAAATATCTTTTTTACTTTACTCTTGTTTTTGTTTTTGTTTTTTTAAGGTTCTATTTATATTTTTCATTTTCCATAAGGATTTCTTCCCTAATAAATCTCACATAGTCGCTCAGGATCAGATGAGAGAATGTATCAGGACCCTTAGATACTCAGTAGATATCATCATTATTCTTGTCCCCTCCCTGATCCTTTAAGTGTCTAGTAGAGTAGGTAAGGGGCACAAATGAACTCTTATGTAATTAATTCCTTCCTCACTTCCCTGTCATTCTCAGGTGGCCCCTATCAGATTGAACTCAACATCTCTGCCACCGGCAAGCTCCCCAATGGCACTGTCTATGCGGCCAGGGGCACCCAAGTAGACTTTAGCTGCAGCAGCAGTGCCTGGCCTTCACCCATGGTTGAGTGGTGGTTCCAGGCCCCGGATTACAAGATGGAGTCCTTTGGAAACAACCTGACAGCCAGCTGCTTCGCACTGTTACAGATATCACAGAACCTCCAAGGGAACTACTCCTGCTCGGCCACAAACACGCTCAGCGGGAGACATCACCAAGTGACCACCGAGCTCCTGGTCTACTGTGCGTAAGAAGCAACATCCCCCCTTAATCCTTTGTGACTGCATGTTTGTGCCTCTTCCTTGGGTCTATAAAGGCATACCTGCTGCATGGTCCACAATGCACATGCAACACTGCACACGCACGTGCGCGCACACACACACACGGGCTGCTCCATGTCAGCAGGGAATTACCTCTTCTTGAAGCTCAGTGCTAGTTATGGATAGCTGAGTCACAGAGGGAAATTAATGCTGAACTTCATACATTCTTGTTCACTGGCATTTCATGAACCAGGTATAGCCATCACAGGTACCCAGACCCCTGAGCACGCTTAGAAACCAGCAGTTCTCGAGCCTTTATGTTGGGGGTAGGCATACAACAACTAAATACTCTTATACCCAGATACCTTGGACAAAAACACTGTAGAAATGCAACGCCAATCTGTGCTAATGAAAGGGAACATCAGAATAACTAATTAGTGGGTGGGATAATGATACATTATTTAATTCATATGTATTCAGAGCCTTTAGAAGCCTCTGTGTTCTCTATCATAAATGCCACTTATATATATAGTCATATGTGCTCATTATGAGAAATACAGATGGATGTAAAGGAAATAATCATTTGTAATCTACCCATCATTTTAGTCCCTGAGTGGTGTAGATGGTTAACATGCTTGGCTACTAACCGAAAGGCTGGTGTTTCAAGTCTACCCAGGCTCCTCTGAGGAAAGGCCTGGCAATTTACTTCAAAAAAATCATGGAAAACCCTGTGGAGCACAGTTCTACTCTTGCACAAATGAGTTAGCCATAACTTGGAGCTGACTCAACGGAAGCTGTTTTTTTTAACCCTCATTTTGGTGTATTTCCATTGATTTTTCCTGTAGCTACCACATGCCCACCCATCCATATAAGAATTTTTTATGTGTATTATATAAAATGTATTAAAATATATATCTATACATATGAATTCATCTATATCTATGTCTATCCCTCAAGGTGCAATGGTTAAGGGCTTAGCTGATAATCAAAAGGTTGGTGGTTCAAGCCTACCCTTCGACTCTCTCAGAGGAAGAGCTGGCGATCTGCTTCCATAAAGATTATAGTCTAGAAAACCCAGTTCTCGGGCAGTCATTCTCTTCACACAGGGTCACTAAACCAAAAAACCAAACCAAACTCACTGCCGTCGAGTCGAGTCCAACTCATAGCGACCCTTCCTTGGGTTTCCGAGGCGGTATCTCTTTGGAAGTAGATTGCCTAGTCTTCCTTACAAGGAGTGGCTGGTGGGTTTGAACTGCCAACCTTCTGGTTGACAGTCAGATGCCTTAGGCACGGCACTGAAAATCGACTTGATGGTACCCAACAACAACATATATATATATATATAGTTATTAACAAATATGGATTGTATGACTTTACAGACTTGTTTGTAACCTG